CACCTGGCATATGGCGTCTTCATATAGCTGTTGAGTGAGCTGACAAAGATTTGTGGCACTCTGTAGTTTTGAAGCAGCTGTCTGTCAAATTACTTCTCAGTTGACGCTATCGAAGGCTTTTCAAAGTCGAGGAAGTTGAGATAAGGTGAAGAGTTGACTGCCATTCTATACTAGGTTCTATTGTGATGCGTAGTGTTGTGTTACAATTTTATCCGCAAATGATTTGCTCTTCCTGACAAGAAATTATGTCCAAAACGTTTTGCTTCACTCTGTGAAGATACTGATCAAAAAAACTCAAATAGAAGTTATTTTCTGCGTTTATTGGGTAGTCGGAATCGAAAATTTTTTCTAAGATAAAGGTGGATACTGACGTGTGTAAGAACATTTTATCTCCAAAATGTTTCTTTTCATCTGCTCGGTAGTACATTACTTCTCATATATCACATTATTCCGTACATATAATACCGACTTCTAACGACATTCATCAATTACTTTAAACATTTCACAGTAATCTACTTACTAACTTAACATAACTTCACTCTTGATTATTCTTCTTCTCATCACTATTTATTAGAGGCACTGATATCATTCAAAGAACTATTGAACACTTGGGGACACCTGACAGCCCTTTCATTCTAGTATAAGATTCTTCACCAAAACGCACACACACAACCCTGTCAGGGGTCGAACTAACGATCTTTAGGTTTCATAGTGAATACGTTAACCATTCAGTCATTGGGTCAAAGTTCAACGGTCTATAGTTTCCTACTTTTGTCAATTTAGTTTCAGGTTTATGAGAATTTTATCGTTACAGAATGAGATTAATTTGGAATTGTGAACTACTGAACTTTAACCCAGTGGCTAAATAGTTAACACGTTCCCTGTGAAACCTTAAGGTTCCGAGTTCGATCCGTAGAGGAGTTGTGTGTGCGTACTACTGAGAAGTTCCGTACTAGAACGAAACAGCTGGCCAGTAATCCTAGATGTTGAAAGGTGTCTCCATAAATGTATATACATAAATACATAAGTGTAATATTCGTTTAAAACTGTACACCTGGAGAGTGACGTCATCGAAACGACTGAGTCTTCATTGAACATGTTCAATTTTTAGACCCAATTGGAATTTCATCAATATAAGTAGAAAGACATTTGTAGAATATAATATGAGCTCATTTTATCTCATCACCTTTCATCAGCTGAAACACACCCTACAGTTTATATGAATTATTGGTAGTAATAATAATAACATAACATAACATACCTTTAACACGCAGAAATAAATGGAGATTTGAAATCCACGATTAACAATAAGGTGGTAGTAAGTGAGTCAAGGAAACATATTGTTATTATTATTATTAGTCCCTTGGGTTCCTAATGGACCATAGGGCTTCAGTAGCACGTCTCTACTCCACTCTCTCCTCTGAAATCTTTTGAACCTGGCTCCACGACAGCCCACAAACTTTCATTTCCTCCTCACACCATCTACTCCATGTCACCCTCACTACGGACGTCCAACTCGTCGCTTCCAATGGGGATTCCACTCGAGCAACTGGCCAGACGCGTGATGTCTCTAGTCGGCTTTCTTAGTGTATGCCCAATCCAATCCATCTCCACTTCGATTCTCTTCTGCATATTTATTGGGTGATAGGTTCTTGGTTGGTTCGTTCCCAGAGCTCCTTGTTGCTTATTCTTTCTGGTAATCCATCTGATCTTCAGTAGCGAGCGTAAGCAGTTGTTGATGAATGTCTGCAGTTTATTGGAAATCCCTCTCGTAACGCACCAAGTCTCTGAACCATACAGAAGCACTGACTTGACGTTGGTGTTGAAAATCCGTATCTTGTTCCACATGCTGAGTGAGGAAGATCTCCACAGTGGTTTCAGGCTAATGAACACCTGTCTTTCCTTTCCGATTCCGACTTTGACATCCTCGTCTGTGCCTGTGCTGCCTGTAGTTGAAACAGTGCTGCCTAGATAGATGAAGGAGGTTACTTTTTTTAAGTTTCTCCGGTTGATGGTGACTGGAGTTTGTTGTTGTTGGTGCGGTATCTTCATCACCTCTGTCTTCTCTATGTCAGCTTGAAGTCCCGTCTTCGCCGCCTCTTCTGCCAACTTGTTAGTTTTCGCCTGTATATCTTCAAGTTTGTGTGACATCAGGCACAAGTCATTGGCGAGATCCAAATCTTTTAGGTTCTTTTCCGTGATCCAGCGTATCCACCTCTTCTCGCTCCTCACTGTTTGTTTCATGATCCAGTCCAGTCCACTACAATCAGGAAGATGATGGGTGATAGTAGACGGCAGTGTTGTCTTACTCCTATCTTCACTTCAAAAGCATCACTGAGCTTCCCATTGTGAATTAGTTGGGATGTTGCGTCCTCATATAGTTGTTGAATGAGGCGGATAAAGGTTTGCGGTACTCCGTAGTAGTGAAGCAGTTTCCAAATTACCTCTCGGTCGACGCTGTCAAAGGCCTAAGGAAACATATCTTAGTCAAAATCTATGCCTATTTATATCTGATGGGATGGAAAATTCTGAAGCTGTGGAGTAGGTGTCGTGTGGGACAACAAAAGAAAACCAGTGTAAAAGAAGGGACTATTTAAGGACTAATAAGTTACGTAATTACATGGAGGACTGGAAAATCGTTAAGTCATTAACTGTTAGGAGATAATTAATGAAGATATGATTCAACCGAAACACAAGAAAAACTGTACAAAAACATATGTAAAAATTATATAGAGTTACCAAAGTAAATGAAAGTTAATTACTGTCTCTTTCTCAGTACATAGATCAGGTTGAAAATGTTTGATAACAACAGCTTCCTCAAACCGTAATAAACATGGTGTTCTTTGTTTGTTGATTATCTTGAAGGATTGAGAAACATCTTTTTGATGTTCTGTTTCTATCAGATACCTTGCGATTGCGTTTTAAAAGACTTTTCTACCATTCAGATACAGATTTGTCGGAATATGCTCATAAAATCGAGTAAACGGCCTTCGTTCAGTTCCTCCTATGTACTTGCTGGCACAACCACAGTTGAAGGTGAAGTGGGTTAGGTATTTGTCTACGTTCGACTGTGTTAATGAGCATAATGTATTGTAGACTGAGATCAGTTCGGTAGTATAGAAGCTTCTTCACAGTGCAGCTTTTATTCTTCTGTCTATTCTTTCAGATATCTAAACACCCTTGATTGCTAGAAGAAAGGAAACAGGTTTCTTCTTTTCAACAGTTGGATGTTTTGGTCCATCAATAAATTCTTTTCCATGCTTTATGATGAATTTCTTCGGGTATTCATTCTATATAAGAGCCTTCTCAATTATCTAGAATTCTTCTTCTTGTTTATCTCTTGAGCATACCATTTTTATTCTAATGAATAGCTTCCTGACTAAACCACGCTTATAGCTGACAGGATAGAAACTATTGTAGTGAAAGTAAATTGACCAATGCACAAGTCTTTTCTGTGGATAGTTTTCTCAACTGTACTGTAAATGTATATACTTTTCTGCATACATATGTAGATAATCTTACCTTTCCTTCCTTTTGATTGTATCATCTCTTCATTAATTATCTACTGACAGGTAATGACTTAACGATTTTCCAGTCCTCCATGTAATTACGTAACCTATTAGTCCTTAAATGGTCCCTTCTTTTACACTGGTTTTCTTTTGTTGTCCCACACGACACCTACTCCACAGCTCCAGAATTTTCCATTTCATCAGATATAAGTAGTCATAGATTTTCATTATGATATGTAACTATAAATGTTGTTTCCTTGACTCACTCACTACCACCTTATTGTTAATCATGGATTTCAAATCTTCATTTATTTTTGAGTGTTTAAAGAAAACTTCATCAGATAAAGACCAATGTAGCCATTTGAAGGTTGTCATTATAATCACTGTTTTTTATATTTAATTGTTTCCAATATTATTTGGTCATTTGATCTTTCTAATAATCGCAACTTTTAAGAAAACATTTTCGATTTACTCCAATTAACTTATCTCACTTATTTAAACAGCGTAATGAGAAGACGAAGATTATCTGAAACATGTCGTGATGTATTAGCGCTATACATTTCGAACAATCTGATCACACATGGACTTGTCGAACTATTTATGTAAATTATCACATGAATAGTTCGACAAGTCCATGTGTGATCAGATTGTTCGAAATGTATAGCGCTAATACATCACGACATGTTTCAGATAATCTTCGATGTCTCACTTATATTACCTAATCCTTTAATTGTTTATTAACGTTCTTATCCCTTTCTAATCTATGTGCACTTTATCAACGATTTAGAAGTCTTACGTAAGCCCTTTTGTTATCATTTGGCCTTTACATCATAAACCAGTGACATTATTATCCTTATAACCAACATCATTATTATTTCAATCCCCCATTATTTCAGTTAAATCTTCCTCATAGATTACAGTCTTTAAATATCATATATGTATACGAATGTACAGCTTGAGAATAAATTCATTGAAAAGAGTCCTCTTCGTTGAACATCTGAATTCAACTATTCTCTTTTGTACTGGGTAAATCAAATTTCTGATTTACTGAGAGCATTATTATTATTATTATTATATGTCCCTTGGGTTCCTAGTGGAACATAGGGCTTCACTAGCACGTCTCCATTACACTCTCTTCTCTACAGTCTTTTCCTCGAACCTGGTTCCATGACTGTCCAAAACCTCTCATTTCTTCCTAACATGATCTCCACCATGTTACCATCGCATCGGACACCAAACTTGTCATTTCCCCTTTGGATTCCACTCGATACCCTGGCTTGGCACATCATGTCCCTGAATGGTTTTCTGAGTGTATGCTCAATCCATCTCCATTTTCTTCATCTATATATTTGTTGGGCTATAGGATCTTGGTTATTGAGACCTTTGAATTATTTTAAAGTAGTTTCTTACTGTATATTTAAGGTAGTTAACTGTTCAATAAATTAAAATTTATGTATAAATATGAATTATGATTTCTGTTGATTATTTCAGGTATTAAATGAGCATACAGGATGTATTACAGCGTTAAGATTTGATAATTATCATTTAGTTACATCATCAAAAGATAAATTTGTTCGAATATGGTCTATGATTGGAGAATTCACTGAATGCTTAGGAACATTAATGCATACTGGGTGAGTCAATTGAACGTAAATGATTATATAATTGTTATTTACTTCTGGTCTTTTAAAAGATTTCAAGTTGTTATTCATCGTAGACTGACATCAGTTGGAGGAACAAAGGAAACCTGGGAGCAATGGACAGCTGTTTCGTCCGACTAGTATGGGACTCCTCAGCAGTGCGCACCCACCACCCCACCAGCAGGGATCGAACCCGCGACCATCAAGTTCCGCTGCCAGCGCGTTACCATTGAGCCACTGGGTCAGAATCCAATGCTCCATATTTCCAACTTCTGTTAGCTGACGATATAGCGCGAACCGCCACCCAATGTCATCGTTGAGTATCTGTCCTCACGGCCATCAGGCTTTGACTCCACCGGTCACGACTTGTCATTGGAACTTCGGGAATACTTCTCGAAGCTAGTCACCAATGAGCATCAGTTCAATTAAATTTTTGAGGGGGTTGTGGAGATTTGGAAATATTTCAAGTTGTTATTCATCGAAGACTAGGACGAAACAGCTGTCCAGTGCTCCCAGGTTTCCTTTGTTCCTCCAACTGATGTCAGTCTTCGATGAATAACAACTTGAAATATTTCCAAATCTCCACAACCCCCTCAAAAATTTTAAAAGATTTTTAATAAATAAATGTGAGTTGATGGTAATGCCTCTAACTACGTAGCCCAATAATAATAATAATAATAATAATAATAATAATAATAATAATAATAATAATAATAATAATAATGGCTCACTTTATTCCAAACAATTAGCGGTACAATTTGGAATGCTCAGCATGATATATCACAGCAACAACACTTCGGATTGTGTTATAATAAGAATTTAAGTAATGTAAAGAATATTAAAAACGAGAATATTTCACATTGTTAATTAGATTATTGAAATATGATTGTTAACTGGCACGAAGTTGATAGATGTGATTTCTATTCGAACACACGGTTTTGCCCACATAATATGCGTGATGGGTAACGTACAGTCGAATTCTTGTACTTGAGTGTACGAGCGTACAGTCTGATGCAGTTTCTTCTTATCCTCCCTGAGAGAGAGAGTTGTGAATGAAGTGGATGCTCAGTGTCAGTTAAAATTACCGTAGCTAGTTGCTTACTAGAATTTAAATGTCTGTCGACTACAGTGTTAATCAGTTGGATCAGAAGTACACCACTCACTCTACTGACGACTTTCAAAACCCTTCACAATATAACACAGTCGTTTTTTATTCGAATAGGAAAGATCAACGGGGAACAATAGAGAAGAATTGGTAAAATGCAGGGATTAATAAATTATAAGAGTAGAGAGACTGAGTTATACCAGAAAGCCTGTGTTTTATTATGCAATACGTTAAATGAAAGATTTCTTTACAAGTCAACAAGATATAAGACGACCAACAGAGATCAGAAGTAAATCTCAATCCAAGATAGTTAACACTCACTTTACTTTCTGCACAAATACCATCAATGGGAGAGGAGCCATGGGTCTCCAGCAGCTCACACATGTCTTATCTACGCCCGAGACAAAATTTAAAAGTCTGATATTTAGAAGAGTTTAACTTGAGACCATTTGAGAGAGACTGTTGGTCAATTACAGACAAGAATTCTATACAAAAATCTATGTGGGAGTTGGCTGGAATAGACACTGTCAAGTCGTCAGGATACTCAATAAAATTAGTTTGAACAGAATAAGGTAAATCGTGCAAAAAGAGGGAAGAGAGACACTGAGAAAGTACAGCAATCTGAGGCACACTAGCTTCAGTAAGCAATGAAGTGGAGCACTTCCCCTTATTTACAGTGTACTGTTTCATTTCAGGAAAATAAGAGTACACCACTTTGTAACCCAAGGCTCATACTGAGCTATGGCATGCTTATTTAAGAAGACTTGTCTAGGGAGAGAGTCAAAGGCTGGTGAGTAATCCGAAAAGGCACAACGAACATACTTAACACCTTTGTCTTGAATAAAAACATGATGATGATGATGATGATGATGATGGAGGAGAGTGACGGTATCTAAAGAACTTCTCATGTGTTTGTAAGCAAACTGTTTCCGATCTCTGAAAACCATGAATGAAGGCTCAGTCACAAGGAGAAGTGATTTCTGCATTGTCTGCAGAAAAGGGGAAGTTATTGTGATGAGTCGAAAGGTTATATGTGATTTGGAAGATTATTTAGGCATAGGTACAACTTTGATCTCCTTCCAAGTAGTGGGTATTATGCCTTTAGTAAATGATGCATTGAAGATATCTGTAAGAGGATGACATAAAATATCTGCATATTATCGAAATATGATACTGGGAACACCATCAGGATTTAAGCTTTAGGATGGATTCAAGGATTTAAGACATTTGAATACATCACATGTATTAAACGCAATAAAGCAGCTATAGATTTGACTTTGGATATTAGGGAGGGTGAAATCAGCTTGTCGACGTGTGAATGACTTGTTTAACGTGCAGACATCCGAATAAACTTCTTTTGTCATCTGCTTTCTACCAGTAAGTTCTTTGAATAACTTCCATATATTGGAAGAGTTCTTACACGATAGGAACTTCTGGTTGTAAATACTATTCAGACGTTGTATTTCAGGCTTAATTAGACAGTTAAGTCGTTTACCGCCAAGATGGTCTCTCACCTTATACAACCTTTCCATTCCTCTCCGGAGTCTCTTGAGATGAAGAGAGGAAAGTCTGTCGAGTCTTATGTACCAGGGCAGTGAATATCCAGACGGAATGTCAGATACTTCATGCTGTTGGTGATAGTGTTGTCTAAAACCTAATCAGCAATTATATCCCAGTCTGTTTCTATAAGCATGCTTCTCAAACGTAATATAGACTCTTGTAAATAGCATCTGTATTGAACTTTTCTGGAAGGGTATCCGAAAGCTTTTTTGTGTGGTTTGCCCTACACATTAAGCAAAACACGAACAATACAGTGGTGAGAATTTAGCAGTGGAGCCCATTTACGGGTTTCATACATGCCAGATTCATTTGTAAATACTAAGTCTAGGGTGTTGTCAAGACGAGTGGAAAATTTAGTCATATTTTCATGACCCAATGACACTGGAAAACTGTAGTCACAAGAGTTAAAATCTCCACAGACTGTGGACGAGGAGTTACCCAGAATTGCAGCAGCAAATCCAGTGAATACATCAGCAAGCGCTGACAAATCTGAGAAACTGTAATCAGGTGTGATATAAATGTTTATTATATGTGTATGTTTGTATTTGCTTAAATGTTTAGGATGATATTTGATGGTAATGTGCTCATTTTCTTCGTTCGAGAAGCTGAAGTACACATGGTTGAAGGAGGACCAGGTTGCATTAATAAATGTTGCTACACTACCATTATATTTCTTCTTGGGAATGCTTCGATCTTGTCGAAATAATTTGAAACTATTTAAGGAAACTAAAGTGTCATCATACAGGTTATGAAGCCATGTTTCCCCGTGTTTCGGTAAACATTTGTAGACAAGATTGACTTAAGGTAATCAACTTTCTTCGGCAACGACCTGCAGTTTGTGCTTAGTATTCCCGGTATAGTCATTTGATGTATGGTCATAGACTTGAGAGCCCATTGGCATTCACATTGGTGCTTCTTCTTAATTTTCTCTATGAACTTGTGAAGCGATAGGTTGTAATGATTTTAAAAAGGCACGAGAGTATACATTATGATTCATTGACATAGTTGAACGACTAAAACAACATAGGAATGAGAAATTCGATGCAATATATTCAATATATAAAAATAAAGTAGCGCAGAGTTCGAGCAGGCCGCCAAACATAAAATAAATTGAAGTACAATATACGATGACAACTTTAGGATCTTTATCGTTGGTTATAAAGTTAGAGTAGAACTGAGGGGCTATAACAGAGCATAATTGTGGGGTAGTATTTTTTACGTGGTAATAAACAACACTAATACTTACGTCAGATAGAAAAATACTGTGTAATATATATAGTAGATAAACTGGTAAGGATGTTTTCCATTGAATTCACTTATTATCTACGCGTGGGCGGAACCTCATGAATAACTTCTCTAGTTATCTGTCATTATATTCAACTAAATCCCATGGGAAGCTACTCATCTTCTGTTTACCTCATTGCTAGGATCTTTAACTGCCTACACGGCTTACGTATCCTTAAATTTCTGTAGTAGCCTAATTCCATATTAGATTTATTCATTTGATATACATCAAACCGAAATCAAAAATGTAGAATTACATTCTACTCCAGTGTTCAGTGAATAGAGGCCATACAATGTATGTAAGGTAATTACGCACTTCTTGGTCAATTGGCTTTCCGTTTGAGTTTATGGTGTCCTAATAATTTGAAAGCTGGAAAAGTTGAAAAAAGGCTTTAATTGATATGAATAACTTAACTATTAGGTACTGTACTATTATTATTTTTTTACCTTGGGTTCCTACTGGAACATAGGCTTTCAGTAGCACGCCTCCACTGCACTCTACTCTTTGCATTCTTCTCTTTCAGCCTGGCTCCATGACCTCCACACAACCTCTTATTTCTTCCTAACATGATCTCCACCATGTCACTCTCGCATCGGACACCGAACTTGTCATTTCCCCTTTGGATTCCACTCGGCGCCCTGGCCTGGCGCATGATGTCCCCAGTCAGCCTTCTCAGTGTAGGCTTAATCCATCTCCACTTCCATACTCTTCTGCATATTTGTTGGGTGGTAGGTTGTTGGTTGGTTCATTCCCAGAGTTCTTTCTTGCTTATTCTTTCTGGCCATCTGATTGATCTTCAGTATCGAGTGAGCGTGGGTGGTAGCTGTTGATGTGATGAATGACTGTAGTTTGTTGGAAATGCTTTTCGTGACGCGCCAAGTTTCTGAACCATCACATAGCAGCACTGACTTGACTGAAGTGGTGTTGAAAATCCGGATCTTGTTCACGTTTTATGCTGAGTTCAGTAGATCTCCATATTGATTTCAGACTAGTGAAAGCCTGTCTTGCTGTCTTTTCGATCCTGATTTTGACATCCTTACCTGT